ATATATATATATATATATATATATATATATATATATATATATATATATATATGAGGATATTCATATGTGTATTTCAAGAGAGGACGTAATATATTTGAAATCAGTGAACAGAAAATCTTGATGACTTTGATGAAATTTAAATGACATTTTTATTATTTTACATTTTATTCTTTACGTTGCCTTTATGTTGCATTATGTTGAAATTTGTATATCATATTTGATATCAGTGACTACAAAACTCATATATAAACATTCTTATAAATAACCAAGATGATAATTGCTTGAATTTTGATTAAACACAATGGACTCACTATTCATTGCATTCACATGTATTTATTTGAAATGAAAGAAAATGGTTGATACAGGATAATCGATAGGATACTCCAATATAGCTTTAAGTGCATATATATAACAAACATTTTTCCCCCTATACTTTAACAGTGGATCAGCAATACTTATTTGCCATCAAAATCCAGTGGTGCTGGCATGACAAAATAAGGGAAGCGAACGAGGGAGATGAGCCACAATATAACAGGCATGCCACCCTTCACGAGGATGCCATTGGGGGGTATGGGGGGAATGGGTGTGAGCATGGGTCCCAATGCTCCGCATCCTGACTCTGCTGCTCATCCCCATCCACCACCACCACCACCGGCAGGTGCTAATCCTAAGAAGAAAAGACGTACAAATACGAGTGTTGCCCAACCACCCCCACAACAACCTCCGTCTGTACAGGTATGTTAATCGAGAATATAATGGTACTAACGTTACAATATATCTATGTGCGTGTTGGATTATTGTGTTAATAGCGTGACATTAATGCGATATATTTATCTGACAGGATCTACTACCCCCGCCTTTGACGGGTTATGGTGACACGATCGTCGCGAGTAATCCTTTCGACGATACACCACCACAAACTACGCAAAGCCCAATGATGCACGGTGGGCCTCCACATATGCATCCTCATCATCCTCATCACATGGGTGGACCTCCAATGCGAGGCATGAGTCCTTTAACTTCGATAGGTGGCATAAATCCCATGATGCCGCACAACATGGGCAATATGAGCCCTCTGAGCAATACCCCTATGGCAAATCACATGAGCCACATGGGAGCCATGTCTCCTATGAATCACACTCCCATCGGCGGCATGAGTCCCATGAATAATATGGGACCGAACATGCCACCCGGCCCGATGAACACGATGAACAATCACATGAATATGAGCCACATGGGGAATTCGCAACTGAGCGGCCCGCCGATGGGTAGTCCGATGAATAATATGAACAGTGCGCCCATGGGTAGTCCAATGAACAACATGGGGCACAATATGGGGAGTCCTATGGGTGGACCTCTCGGTTCCCCGATGAGCACTATGGGGGGATCCAATCACATGCCTAATGGACCAATGAATATGAACAACATGAATAGCCATATACCGCCCAATAGCCCGTTAAACGGACCGTCGTTAAATAACGTAAACAGTCCGTTAGGGCACAATGGATCTCAACCTCACCCAAATCATATGGGAAGCAATCTAAACAATTTAGGGAGACCTATGAATGGACCTATGACCACCATGAGTTCGATGGCGTCGAACAATATGAATATGACAGGTCCAAGTCAGATTAATAATATGAATATGGGTGGAGCAGCGATTAATAGTATGTCGAATATGAATATGAGTCATCATAATCAAATGAGTCATATGGGAATGCCAATCGGTACTTTGCCGAATAATATGGGTGCTGGACCACCAATGGGACATCCTATTAACATGGGTGGATCTATGCCTCCACATGGATTTCAAGGTCCGCCTGGAATGGGTCCAAAACCGATGCCAGTTTCCGCGGGCAAGGTAACTTTTTCTTATGTTTATCGTCGAACTAGCACGACTAACTTGTTGCAACACTCGGAATAGTGTTAACGATTCAATTTTTACTGATTTATTGCAGATATATCCTCCGGATCAGCCGATGGTATTCAATCCACAAAACCCCAATGCGCCACCAATTTATCCTTGCGGGGTTTGTCATAAAGAAGTGCACGACAATGACCAGGCAATTCTGTGCGAATCAGGTTGTAATTTTTGGTTTCACAGGTGAGTCGGTGATATGATGATCAGTAAATGATAATATCTCATGAATACAAAATAAATGTCGCGTAACACCGACGACGTGTGTTTGCAGGATTTGCACAGGATTGTCCGAATACGCCTATCAGTTATTAACGCAACAAGTTTACGCGGAGTGGGTGTGTGATAAGTGTTTGCAGTCGAAAAACGTACCCCCAGTTAAGTTTAAACCATAACACTTCTTGTCCCGTCGTTCATGCGACGTCCCAGTGACTCTTTGTTAGCGTTTACGTATGTATACGCACGTATGTGCGTGCGATTGTGCACATACACGTACACATACACAAAAACACACATACACATCCATAGCACATGGTAAAAACTAGTGCACGTATGAGATCGTGCATACAATATTAAAAAAAAAAAAAATACACTGTTTGTTAACAACTTAGCTTTAACTTGTTGAGATATTAGAATATCATTGTGAGTCGTAATGGTAAATACGAAAGCAGAAACAACATGGTTAAAGGTTATTTTAAATTTTGAGTCTGTTCATGACAAGTGGATTCATAAGCAGAATTAATTGATAATTTAATGTTGAATTCCGGCAGATATAAAAAGTAATACTGGCTAGACTTTTGTTTTTAATGACTAATGCGACATAAATTGTTCTGGAACGTTTAGCCAGGAATATTTATGTAAACCAGAAATAGACGGAAGAATGTTAAATGATAATGTAAAATATGTAAGGTTCGACGGACCTAGTAATCTTATGACTAATTGCATTTAATTCGGAATTAACGGTACCTACAAGCGTTAAGTTCACTTTAGACGATCTTATATAATTTGAAACAGAACACGGAACAGAATTCTATTTTTAATATTATGTATACAAAAAAATAGAGTGTAGATTTATATATATGTTACACACATGTATATAGACATCTATAAATATATATATATATATATATATATATATATATATATATATATATAT